AGTTTTTAATTTAAACTTTTTAATAATTTATATAAATGCTTTAAGTGATAAAATAAAAAAAGATTAAAAACTAACAGAGTCTACGGTTAAAAATCATATGTGGTCTGACAATACTATTAATTTAATATTGTTAACCAAATTAATAATAAAAGACTTACACTGAATAAATTAATTCAGTATAGAGATTTAATTATCATTTAATTTGATACAAAATTTTAATTAAACAATTATTTATAGTACAAAGACGGTCCGGATCATTAACTCTTATTGATTTCAAATAGTAAGGTTGTTATTGCTATGCTTCTCTTCTTTCTGCGCCATATGAGTAGGAAGGTTTGCATTTGCGGTTGTTAGCTTCGTGTAGAAAGTATATTATTCTCTCATTTCTCGATAAATTTTATAATATATAAAAAATAATTAGTGATATATACAATAATTATTCATTGAATGTACTTTGATGAGAGAGATAGATACACAAAAAGAGAGAAAAAATAAAAAAGAAAAATAAAAAATTTGAAAGGACGTAAAAATCTTTTTATCACTTTTGATGAATATAGATGTAATTTATCTCTTTTTTACGTGTCTATCTCTCTTTTTCTCTTAGAAACCCTCGTGTTTGCTTTTGTTTTCCTTTTAGGCGATGGAATCCCTCCTGATTTAACAAAACATTGTTCAATATGGCACTATATAACGTCCCCAGTTAATGTAAGAAAATAAATTCTCATATATATATATATATATCTCAATTCGGATGTGAGTGGCTGGCTTAAGATTCATTTGAAGAAAAAATTATTTTTAAATATGCAAAAACTTACCTAATAGTATTTGAAAAAAATTAAACTAAATAAAAATGAGAAACACACGAGAGAAGTACTCTGTATATCCAGCGAAAATGGAGGCTATAATATTTTGAGGCATTATTGAAAAGCCCCAGTCAAAATCTCGAACTCCCGTACGCTTTCTTTTCCTGTTTTCCATCTTTCTCTCGCTGCTTTCACTTTTCCTCTTTCAAATGGATAGCTAAGCCCATCCAAGGCATGCGAAAACCTTGAATCATAAAAACCTCTCTTTTATCAAAGGAGAGGGGAAAAAAAGAAAAAAGAAACCGATCGGTGTTATGAAGTGAAAACAGCCGATCGAGTTTTCTCCTTCCATGTTAGCCTGAACCCACACTAGGTTTCTCTACACAATTGATTGCTAATCATTATAGTATTTTAGCAGTACGTAGGCGAGGAACATGTTGCAATCAGAGCAAAGGGAGACAATATATATTTTCCAGTAGATTAAAGAAAACAAAATGAAAAGACGGGCCATGTCCAATATGTTAACGCACTATCTAGGGCCCGAAAATTTGTCGTGTCTACATCATTCGAGACATGAAAACCTTTTCTCCTCATCACTAGTACTTGTAACCAAGGGTGGTTTCTGTACTTTTAAGGAGAACATTGCTACCAGTGCCGTTCACCAAATTTAGATTAAACTTGTCATCATCAATGATGGTAGTGTGACTAGTTATTCCATTGTCGAAAAGCGTATACTAGCAAGCCAAAGATTAACACAATCATAGTCATTTCCCCTCCCCCTTCCCAACAGAAATAAAATAAATAAAGTAAAATAAAACAATTCATTTGTTTCTCTTAACCTAAAAACCATACAAAACACCTAATTTTTCAACCATTGGTGTAGCATATGCAAAGAACACTACAGCGCATGAGGTAAGTTAGGGAAAACCTGAATTTAGACCTTAATAAAACACCCAACTATCCATTAATTGAGTTCTAAATATTTTGATTTTTATTTTTTTAAAATGTAATTGATACTAGCCAATGTCACCTCTTTATTCATTATCCAAGATGTTAACGTAATCTTCATTCCATCCTTTAGACGATTTTAAAATTAAAATGTAGTAAATTTATTTTTCCTTTACTATAATTTGATGCTAAATTATCCTTTACAATAGATAGCATCCATTTTGACGTCTTAAACGGAAGTAGTTTTTAATAAATGCCTACACATTAGACAAAATTTTTTAAATTTCACTAACAATACATGGATGAAGGGATAACCTTGTCTAATACCAATTACGTTTAGGATAAAATTGATGAAATAAAAAAAAAATTGAGATTCAATTGATAATTAAGGGATATGTTAGGGGCTAAATTTAGGCGTCTCCTGAAATTATAATATCGTTATTCAAAAACACTAACCATTTTTCTTTTATTTCAACTAAGCAATTCCCTAGTTAATTACTTACATTTTTGTTCTGGTCATAGTCTACACAATTTAACCGACGGGCTCTAAGATGGAAATCATGGATCAGATTAAGTTAATTAATTATAAACAAAGAGATTTGGTGGCATCCATTGTCCATAAAAAAAAAAAGGGTTTATCGCATGTAATGAATTTGGATTTTGGAATTGGGCCGTTATATGGGCTTGGCAGTTCCTTTTCTCTCTTGCTTTTTATTTTTTCCCTAAAAAAATATAGGGGAAATATCCATTCAACGAAGGAGAGATACAAATCACAAGTTTTAGCTCACCAGTTTGATATTTGCATTGATTTTCATTTTCTTTGGGTTTGAAGATCTGCAAATTTTTTTCTGCCTGAAACAGGAAGGCCTTTACATACCTTAGAGTTCAAATCTTTTCAATATAACCACTGTCAAATTTAATACTCCTTGTGCATGCGAACTAATTATTAATCTTTCAAATTTATACGACCAGGAGCTGGGGCGCCGTTCACGTGGGAATCATAAATAGTGCACTCACAACTGCAAAGACGAAGTGGAAATCAAAATTCGGAAGTACTTTGTCATCGCACTGACAGACAGTACTATACTGTATATATCAATGAAGATACAAGGGCCCGTGAAGCAGCTATTAGTTGACAGAGATATATAACTTAAATTCTGGCGTAAGATGTTGGACATGCATGAATAAATTGGGAAATCGTGAAGACATTAATTTGTATCTCTTTTTTGTTTTTCCTTTTTTCTCTTGATGAATTTGCTTCTCATGCTTGACGAAACAAATTCTCCTGATATACGTACACATTAGCCGTTCCCGTACGTTCGCTGCTAAGAATCACCATTAATCTTGAACAAAATCTTGAAATCTACAGACCGGGGTAGTTAAATATTATTTCTCATATGCATTTTACCCCGAGAATAGTAGGTAGAACTGGGCATCCATCAATACCCGTAAAAAGAAAAGCGAGAGAAAAACAGTACACCCAGTATACTTAGTAGAATATCCAATGTTTTAATCCTTTCTTCTTTTTTATTTTTTCGCTTTTCCACGATTTCAAATATATGTATAATTAAGATACTTGAATTATTTTTTTATTTAAATAATTTTAAAGACACATTCTTTACAGATACCTAACATATTTAATAGATTTAATTCTACTTAATACTGGTTTAAAAAGTCAAAGAAGTTGAGCAAACCTCAATCTGTCCACGGAATTAATTGTTCCAACACCGTGTAGTGACGTAGGCCACATACAACAATTTGGGCATTTGGCCCAACGTATACAATAATCTTTGAAATGCATGACACAAATTCCACAATCTGGAGCTGGTGGGCAAAAAAAAAAAAAGAAAAGTCAGTTTACTGTTTGCTTGTGGGGCCGCATTTGCGTTGTGTCTACATCACCTCCCGACGTTATATTTTTGTTCAGCGGAGGAAAATTGTTAACTCTCAGTCTCTCACTGAAAAATGTCAGATCCTACACTTAGGAGTTTCGGGTTGGCAACGTCAACATGGGAACATGTGGTAAACACATCAGTATTCATTGCTATTTTGGTTGTGTCTCGTAATCGATAAGATCTTTTAAGCAGTTAAATACATAATGATGGATTGGGTAAAAAGTCAATCTTGTTCTACAAGTACATCTTGTAATCGAGGGATGGAATTTTTATCAGCAGCAGATCTACATTCATTCAGTGTAACATAGCGAGATTCATGATATTGTCTCGTATGTAAAGTAGGATAGGAGATTGGCCGTTAGTCTAATTGAACCGTGTCCATAAAGAACAAAACATGTTTCTACTTGTTAAAGATTCTACTCCTCGGAGTGGTCACAAAGTTGCTTATTGATGCCTTCCTGTTGAGACTACTATAATGCCTATTCACAAATAGCAATGTCTATATATATATATATATAGAAACATTTTATTGTTAGAGAGCCTTAGTTTTATAAGGATTTTGAGTTGGGTTTATTGATTTTTTTCTTTTTTTTTTTTATCCTCAAAAGTATTCTAGCTTCTGAAACTAATTCCTTACTATTGGAGACTACTATCATGCCTATCCACAGATAACAATGCATACTATATATATATATATATATATATATATATATATATATATATTTTGTTGGAGAGCATTAGTTTTGTAAGGAGTTTGAGTTGGATTTATTAATTTTTTTTTTATCCTCAAAGATATTCTGGGTTCTCAAATTAATTCTTCACTGTCCTTGCATAATTTGTTACATAAGATATTTTTGTATAAGAAGGGAATAACTAATAAGAGAGTTTTTTATATATATAATTATTCAAACTCAAAATCATATGATCAAGTGGCTAGATGTTTTTTTACTCAAGCCAATAAATTTTATTGATTTGATAGTTGATAAAAAAGAAAAAGTAAAAAAATCATAGGCCAGCTTGTTTGTTTTTAGAACTTCACACAATCTTTTGGACTAGTCCTGCCGGCCTATAACGAGCCTATTTTCCTCAGCGGGCCATTGGGGTAATGGGCCACAATTTACAAATCGTTATTGTTGTGGCCCGTAGGATCCACGATCCCCGTTTCCCCACCAGACCACAGTGAATCATCAAGAAGCAAGAATCTAACTAAACATAACAAACAAGTTAGTATATTTTTCCCCTTCGGACAATTTTTTAGGGTTTTGCCAAAATCTCAGAACTCCAAAAAAATCGTTGCCAAAATCTACACTCTCTCTCACCAAAAAAGCCAAAATATCAATCTCTGCACATTAAAATGACAGACGGTTACTGGAATCGGCAACAACCTCCCAATCTCTCTTCCAGTGGCATGCTAAAACGACCCCGTTCCGACTACGGTACCATCTCTCTCTCCTTTCCTTTCTAAAGATGCGATTGTTTTGTATTGCTATATTTTTCTTCTAAGTCTATGCAGAATTTAGAGTGCCGAATTACGATTCCTGTATTTTTTGGATAATTTTGTTGGAATTAGATCCATAAGTTCTTGTAAAAATGAACTTTAGTTTTTGAATACACTAAAAGATTTGACAGAGGTTGTGCCTGCTTCTTGATTTTTCACTTCGATGATTTTTATCTGCTATTGAGAAATAAGATATAGATCGAAGTCTCTGATTTTGAGCTCTTGCAGATATGCCGTCAAGTCATGAGATGCATAACTATTATTCTCGGGATGATGATCGCACTAGGTATGAAACTGTGAAGGACAGTAAGAGTATCGGATCAGCATACGACCGCTACCTTCAAAATGCAGTATGCTTTCAAAACCCTACATCATCTTGTTGTTTTGCCATTGTGCGTTTGTGCTAATTTATTCGTCCTTTTTTGTGAAGCAAGCTCCTACTTTTGCTTCTAGAGAAGCCAGCGCATTAGGAGGAGCGGGGTTTGGAAGGGGTGTTGGTGGTGGAATGAGTGGTCTTCCTATAGCTGATTCTGCTGTAATGGGTCGCCCTCGTTCTGCTGGTCAAGACCTGGCATCAAATGGCAGAGATGTTGGTTTTGTTCGTCAGCGACCAGAAGATAGAGTTGCTAGGTCTGATCGTGAAATGGCACATCTACCTCCAGATGCTTCCAATACTTTATATGTCGAAGGATTTCCTCCTGACTGCTCAAGGAGGGAAGTGGCTCGTATCCTTTTAATGTCGCAGTGATGTTGAGCAATATTGATACTCTTTGTCTAGCTCTTTTTATTAGTTACCGAGGCTTGCTTTCCAACTATGTTTCTGTTCCTTCACTTGGAGTTATAGATATATTTCGTCCTTTTGTGGGATATAAAGAAGTTAGACTTGTGAGCAAAGAAGCCAGACAGGTAAGTGAATGACTTACAATACTCCTTTCTCTTACTTGGTTTAGTAATCTGATGGTCATAGTGACTTGTGGGAAGGGTGACTTATTGTTCATTGACAATGCAGCGTGGTGCAGATCCTATTATCCTTTGTTTTGTTGATTTTGTAAATCCAGAATGTGCGGCAACTGCAATGAGTGCCTTGCAAGGTGATGACTTTGTCTTTTTATCAATCTCAGCAGAAACCAATGCTGGGAACAATAACAATTTAATGTGATAATGGTAGCTGTTATTGCATGTGTATATGTGTAAAAATGCACCTTATTACATTTTGTCTGTCTGTGCTCAAATTTACTTAGGAACCACTAAGTTCTCTCTGAAGAAATTGTTGTTGATGCTCTATATGCCAATGTTTTGTGCTTTTTCTTTTTCTTTTTCTTTGGGGTTGGGGGGGGGGGGGGTGGTATTGTTCTGATTTTGATCATCCATCTTGCTATAGTCGGAATTGGAATTGCAAATAAAACTCATTCTCTTTGGTATGACTCTTGGAAATTTAGGATTAAATTCATTGCATTATAGCTCTTCACCCATGCTTGTTTGAATTGTCTGGAGATGCTAACTTCATGGATGGAATCTGCAGGTTATAAAGTTGATGAACATGATCCTGATTCTAGGTATTTGAGGCTGCAGTTTTCTCGACACCCAGGCCCAAGATCTGGCCCTGTAAGTCGTGGAAGGAGTGAAAATACCCGTCGCTGGAACACCTAGCTTTGAATGCAAACTAGTTTCTTAGTTTGCATCGATCCACCTTATCAGAGTGTTTGTTTAACAATTTATTGTCTAGAACTTGCAAGCTAGATTGCTCGATCCTGGCCTTACTAGTTTTTATAATCTCGATCAGCCAAAATAACGAGGGGATGAGGTGATGTGAGATTTAAGATAAGCTACGGAAAGAAAAAGGACGGATGCTTCAATTGATTGCAGGAAATGACTTGTAGTTTACCGAATGCATAAAGCAACAGATGTATAATTATTGTTGACACCCAGTCATTTACTTTTGGTGTTGTATGTTAATTTTCTAGTGTTTTGAGTCTGATATTTGGAATGTTTAAATGCTTCGGTTTTTTACTCTTCAATTCCACGTGGTTCTTGTCGTGTGCGATTGATTGAAGATACTTTCATGGCAAGGAAAGAAAGGTGAGTGTTCAATTAGGAAGAGAAATTTGATGATACTCAAGGAGGGATAAATATTTTATAACTTTTTGTTGGATCTAAATGTGATTTTGTGATTTTTATTTTATATCTATTTCTCATCTGAAAGTGAACTCATAATACTTTGTAAGTATTGGTAATTATTTTTTAAGTATTTTCAAAATTTTCTTTGAATAAGAAGTTAGAAGTGTTTAGCATAATGGTCGAACTTTAGAACTTCCAGAGATTTGCACGAATGTGGTTCTGGTTTCGTAGCCACTAATTTGCCGGGTGCATGATTTACTGAGAAATTGTTTGTGACATAGCGTTCTCAAATCTTATCGTGCTATCGTTTTAGCCGTTGAGAGAGAGAGTATGGATGAGTTTGCGATTCTATTTTCTTTCCTTTTCACCTTGTCGTTTGTTCAAGGACTAGCATTTCGATTTCTTACAGAAAACGACTAGCATGTTGCATCTGGCAGTGATGGAATTATTCAGAACAAACGTCCTCAACGGATTTTGTGGCAACTGCCAACTGGCCCATTCATCTCTACCTCAAGTTCGTAAATTCCAAAATGTCAAACTCAATTCCACTTAGGGCTTGCGTTCAACTAAGAAATGGACTTCGTTGCCCAAATGCTTTTCTAGTAAACAGTAAACCTGTTAGATAATTATGGAAATGAGGCTCGGCCCATCCTCGTTTAATTTGATCCAGGAGATCAACTTATGCAAGAACGAGGGTCCACTGTATTCTGTAAGGAGAGGCCGGGAAGGAAAAAACTGATTTGGGTTTTTCGTTCAGGATTTGTGTATGTTAAAAAAATTTACATAGTTAATAGTTATCAATCCATTTGACGTGATCGACCCAATATATTTGTTTTTAGCACAAGAACTTGAACTTGCATCGTTATGTTGGAAATTTCACTAACCTGAAAGAATAATGGCCCAATATCGTAAGGAGTTCATTTTTCACATAACGGAGCATTGAAGCTGGTAGCTAGCCAAGAACTCAAGCCTGATAATTTTTTGATACAATCTCTTTAGTTGACTAGGAATGGTTTGATGCACTCTTAGATTATTCCATTAAAATAAGGCTTCCTGGCTAGCTATTTGCCCATCCAGCCATTATTTGAACCTTCCAATTAACCTATTGTCTGCCCAACCAGGCATTATTTAAACCTTTCAATTAACATATTGTCTTGCAAGAATATATAATTTAAAAATTTCAAGGGATCAATCTAATAGTTAAAAAGATTTCTTCTCTTCTTTTATTTCTTAAGTGTCATTTGGCCTTCTTTTTTTTTTTTTTTCAAAACGTTTTTCGCCATTACAAAAGGTGTTTTGTAACATTTTAAGAACTATTTTTGACATCTATTTGAAAGCCAAAAGTTAGAAGTTAGAAAATAAATATTTTGAATTTTTGAGTCTTAGTTGATATAAAAGCATTTCAACAGCACAAATTACTAAACATTTATTTTTATAATTATAGCAGTCATAACTACAATTATAGTCACAATTTTTCTAAACGGACCTTGAGTTTAAATTTTGAGGTCAATATGCAGTAGAATTTATTATTATTTTTTTAAATACATCATACGAATATGAAAAATACAACATTCGACTTAGCCCAAAAAAAAAAAAAAACCGTAATTTAAATTCATGCAAGCTGAATCCAAAACATTGTTACTGTAAAAAATTAAAATGAGTAGTACAACTAAAGACGCGTTCCCATCTACGCGTGGGATATTCATTTTTCAAAAAGCATATGCCTAACCAGGTGTTAAATCAGTTGATTAATCAGACTATAAGAACCTAAGAGGATATTATTATCCTATGTTGGCATCAACTGATAGGTTTTCATTATGAAAAAAAAGACATCGAAATGAATTGGTTTCCCACCATCACACTGTATCTCTGTTCTGTGTTTGGTAGTAAAAGAAAGTTAAAGTCTTAAAGATGTGAAAGAAAATGCTTTGCCACGCAATGGTCGACAGCCATAATCTTTGATAATAAAGTAAAGAGGAGAAGTTTTATAATACACCAAAAGTAATTAATGGTATATACAATAATTATTTTATGGGTTCACTTTAAAGAGAGAGATAGACATAAAAAAGATTAAATTTACATCTATACCCATAAAAAATGATAAGAAGATTTACACGTCCGTTTAAATTTTTTTATTTTCTCTCTCCTGTTTCTCTCTCTCTTTTTGTATGTCTATCTCTTTCATCAAAATGAACCCATAGAGTAACTATTGTACGTATTACTAGTTACACTTGGTGTATTATAAAATTTTTCAACAAAGAGAAGCAATCAGTTAACCATTCTATGGCGATCACTTTACATACGTGTCCCCGTATAATGCGACATCTTCTATATATATATATATATATATATATATATATATATATATATATATATATATATATATAAACAAGAAATTGCAAAGCTTAATTACTTATAAAAAAAAAAAAAAGGAGAGACAATATTTCCTTTCTTTGTTTTTCTGTTTTTAGAGGGTAAAATAGCAAGGAAGTTCCATCGTATCGTTTATTAGAAGAAGAAGAGACGTGTTATATAAGAAGAATAATCCAATCATTAACAAAAATAAATAAATCTCTAACGCTTATTAAAACAAAAGAAGTTTTTTTTTGTAAAAAAAAAGAATTGTTAATAAATAATGAATGTCCAAGACCATTTTATATTTCCACTATTCAATTCAATTCATCATTCAACATGAAAAATTAAAAAGATATACAATTTATTCAATTATTTATGTATCTTTTAACGATTTATAATTTATTTCAATTCTTTTTTTAATCTTGAAGCCTATAAATAGATTTGATTGTTTATTAGGTTGTGTACAAATATTTTGTAGAAATTGAGAGAATATTTGTATTTGTTATCTCTTATATTTATTTTATTTTATAATGAATTTATTTTCTTATTATCTTTTTCTTCAATGCTGCTATTGTTATAATCTTTTTTATAACAAGAAGGGTTTTTTTTTTTTTTTTTTTATATAGCTTTTATGCAAATATTTTTCGCACTTACCTGCACTTGATTTAATGCTATTTTTTTTTTAACAACCTGTGGTTGTATTAAACAGCCAAAGCTGTCGATTCACCGGCTCATCCGAGCTTATTCAACAAATCAACTTCGTTTTTAGGACATTGTAATTGTAAAATTAAGTCGCATTAAAAGGGATGGAGAAATTTGAAATTGATTCCCATTAAATGGAAAGCTACGTTAGGGACTGAATTATATAATTGCTTACAAAGTCACAACAGATCGCTCTCATACAGTCACTTTCATGTTGACGTGCTGATCGTAATTTGTATTATCATTTTAACTATAATATTACGATGGACGCATGTGTTTAAATTATTTAAGGTTTTCAAGTAGTCGGCAAAAAATTAATAAACGTTTTGATAGAGTATAACGATATGGTGCAAGGCTGTTTTGTTTGCGTGCAGCGAACAACAAACTCATTCTAGACTTTTAGGTAAAATCGGTTTGGAAAAGGAAAGATCTAGTACTGTGCTTTCTTTGATTAAAATTAGTTGCTTGTAGATCTATGAGTTACGTAGGTCTTGTCCTTATATCGATCCTTTTGTCATTATTTATTTAAAAGATGGAATTAGATAAGAGTTTATTTAAAAAGACATTCACAATGACCAACTGATAGGAGTCACGATATACAAAGCTCGCTAAAGAGAAGCCCTTTGGTCAGTCATTGGTACCATATAGGATCGATGTTTAGAGAAATTTGACTTGCCTATACTCGGAATAGATTTTGTTAAGAACAGTTTAGGTTCACTCTTAACCTTACTTAATAAAAATTGAAGATGTTACTCATGTATTTTTTTACAGAAACATGAAATCCATCTAACCTTTTAGATATAGAACACTTGTCACGATTGTAATTGTATGTCTCATTGTCTACGTGTATAAATATTTCATTTGAAATTTTTTTTATATACGATTTTATTTCTTCAGAGCTTCTATCTCCAAAAACTTGTACTTTTTCTGACTATATCATCCTTATTAACTTGTGGTGCTCTCAATAACTTTGGATAGCAGCGTACAGCCATCATCTTCTTACAATGCTTCCACATCTTCGTACTTTTCAATTGTCTACTTTTTCTTACAAACTTCTCGTCATAAGACCTATTCCATATCTAAGTATTGCTAATATACAGTATTTCCTCACTCCTAATACCGTTAAAAAAAAAACCCTGTACTTACGCTGTTCATATGAATTTACCTTCGTGTTGTTAGGCAAATCTGAATATTCTTTGTTTAAACAACCCTTCAACGTAGCTGTTCCCAATTATAGCCAAGATTTAAAAAATTCATACGAATATTTGTTATGGTTTTACGTGTTTCTTCAGGTTAATTAGCAGGTTTAGTCATTACTATTACAATATAACTAAAGCAAAATGACAATTTAAACAGTAATGAACAATAATGAATAGTGATAAACACTGTTAATTACTCTAGTTTAGTTTTTTTTTTTTTTAATTTCAAGTTATATCATTTTGATCCCTAAAATTTAAAATAAATATTTTAATTCC